GGCCCACCAAAGCCCCCACCCGCTCATCCTGCGCTTTCCATCGCACGCCTGGCGCCGCTTGCCACACCGTATTCATGTCGGCCTAGAGCTTGCAGCGGCCGGCATTGATGCCGTGATTTGACCGGACGGACGGCGCAGACGGACGCGACCTCTTGGGCGTCGCCGCCGCTTCAATGCGGACTACGCGTTCCGAGAAACCAACTCCGGCCACTGCGCCGTATTGAAGCGGGCTGACCGCCCTCCGCCAGGGACGAAGCTTCCTTGTAGGCACTGGGGTCAATTGACCCAGTGAAATTAGAAATTTCTTCACTAATTTTGCACTAAACACTATCTATTTATTGTAGATGACCCCACTCCATAGACACGACCCCAGCAAACTTTTTTTCCAGCTTGCCCTGGCCGCGACTATTTAAGCCGCGCTCCGCCTGCCCTAGCCGTGAATATTTAAGCCGCGCTCCACCTGCCCTGGCCGCGACTATTTAAGCCGCGCTCCTGCGTCGTCTAGATCCGCACCCTCTCGAGCACCGCACCGTCCTCCCTCCCTTGTCGATCCCTTCCACCTCTCCGAGCCCAGCGGCGATGCTGAAGTCCTGGTTCCCTGTGCCGGCAGGCGGCACTGGTGGAAGTTTGTCATTAGGCGGATTGTGGCATCGCCGCCCTCGCTCACCTGGACCATCCGCATCCAACGTGGCGGGCTCCTCCGGCCAGGAGGAGATAGTCCTCTCCTCGGGCGACGAGGAGGACCAATAACAGCAGTGGCCATGTCTACTCTCGGAGGTGGCTCCAACGGACAAAGAATTCGTCCACAGATGAGATCATGACGGAGCGCTCGCTCCGTCAGATGGGCCCGGCTCCACTGTCGCTGGCGCACGTGAAGGAGGAGCCAGTGTCAACTAGATAGTAGCCCACGGAGGATAGATATGGTGTTGACAAAGGTAGCCCACGGAGGATAGATACCATCAACTAGATAGCAGTCCAGGTTATACTCATGCCATTGACAATATAGGGCAAGGAGGAGATTTTCCTTCAGTCAACCCCGCAAACAATGATAATCGTTGCAGCACATTGATGTCATTGTGAGACCCGGGCATGCCAAGGAAAGCGTGCCAAATCCAAATATCATGTGATGCAACTACTTTAAGAATGATAGCAAAAAGGCCTGTGTGTTGCAACGGGCGAAAAAATACCACACGCTCTTAATGTACAAAAAATGTTCTATAATCTGAGAATTTGCAGCTATTTCTTAAATACATGAAGAGTTAAAAAGGTTGTTAAAAAGATACAAGTTTTTTAATCATAAAAAGAGATATTTTTTGTCTTGAAAAGAGCATTTTTTATGGTCTCATGTTGGCGCAGGTACTTCCGCCCCTATTTCATCAGTACCGGTATGAAAAAAGACGGATGATTCATTGTTGATTAATATTGCAGCCTAGATAATATTTTTTTAAAATTTTTAACAGGTAAAATAACACCATATTTAGATTCTACATATTTTTATAATCAAATTTTATATATAATATGTTAAATTTGGACTTGCGATTTAAAAGATATGAGTATTTTAAAAAACATTTGTTATGTACCGCGGGTTTAATGCCAGAAACATGAGGGGTTTTTCTAAAAATAGCATGACGGACTAAGAATACCTATTTCTTTCAGTACCGGTATGAAAAAAGACGGATAATTCATTGTTGATTAACATTGCACCCTAGATAGTATTTTTTTAAAATTGTTAACAGGTAAAATAACACCATATTTGGATTCTACATGTTTTTCTAATCAAATTTTATATATAATATGTTAAATTTGGAGTTACAATTTAAAAGATATGAGTATTTTAAAAAACATTTGATATGTACCGCGGGTTTAATGCCAGAAACATGAGGGGGTTTTCTACAAATAGCATGACGGACTAAGAATACCTATTTCTCTTATTAGTAGGTATAGATGGTGGGTTTCTTAACATGACCATGATATTTCCCTTGTAAAGCCCTCGGGTAGTTCTTCCATTTTCAATGCATGAACTCAAGAGATCCAAGCAAATTTGGCCACCCTGTTGCTTACGAGATTGCTAAGAGCCTCTCGGTGTCTACCACAGTTGGTTCTCTCAGGTACTGAGGTCCAAACACCTCGACCACGACAGTTGCAAACCTGATCATGGCATCTCCACATGTGCTCTCAAACATCCGTAGGTAGTCGTTCCACGAATCAGCAGTCATGTCATATGCAAGCATCCACGGTGTGGCCGTGCACTTATAGTAACCAGAGAAACAATTCCTCCCCACAGCGTCTTTCTTCAAGATAAAGAGTCATCAAAGGACGGGACGCCATGGTAGAGATGATCGAAGAAATTTTTTCGCATCCGGAAGTACCGCTGAAAATTGTCAGCGAAGAGGGCATCCAGGGCAAAGTAGCCACCAATCAGTGTCACATGGCCACGTGCCCGGTTGCGGTTTAGCAGTTGATGGACCTTGTCGATCCCTTGAAATTGAGAGCATGCTCCTCCGCACGCCCCACGCCTGCGAGCACCGCGTGCATCATCGCCATCTCATCCGTGTAGTCCTCCTCGTCGGATGAACCGTCAGATGACTCAACATAGTGCTCGTATATGTACTCCATATCTGAATAATTGCTAAAAAGAAGATGTGACCAAAAAAAATTAGTTCGGGCAATTCACGAAACAGTTGTCGGGATGCTGAGCATCGTAGGAGCGGATGGCACCTGTGCAGCGATCGGAGGAGAGTTGTGGAATGGTGGCGAGGACAAGCGGCATGGAGCCCAGGTGTACCGTTGGAGGTGACGGATTCATCGAGTTCAGGGCAGGGGTGTGTCATGCTGGCTAGGGTGGTGGAGTGGCGGTGAAGGAAGGAGATGAGGGAAAATAGGAGGATGAAGGCAAGGGGTCTGGAAGGGTTTTTTGGTGGGGTTTCGGGTGGGCCGGGGGTGTCGGAGTCCTATGTGGCTACTGTTCAGACTACCGCAAAGCCCCCAGTTTGCTTCGTGTTTTTCGGAAAAAGTACGCCCGGACCGCTTGGCGAACCAATACAGGCCCGCGTTGGATGACTAAACATGTTCGAACCGCGTAGTCCGAATGGTTGTCGGCGGTTTGAGGGTCCGCTTTGGAGATGCCCTTACAACCATCGATACAACACTACAAAGTAAGAGGAAAAGGCAAAAGAAAAACTTTGGCATGATACAAGGTCCCATGAGCAGCAACAAAGCCCAAAACACAATGACACCGACACACTGGAGCCCTCATACATGAGTGGAGAACCAACACTGCAAAGGGGGCCAAATCGAGAAGGACATTAGTCGTCAAAGGAAGCCTTGCCACCACCATCGTGATGCGGAGCATCCTACGGTCATCCCCATGGACATTTCATCATCAACTTGAACACCAAGTGGACCAATGACGAGAGCCCATGCATGTGATATCGAAACCGAGGTTACCTCTTTCCTCTTCGAGCTCCCTTTGGATTCACATAAGAAATGGATTCTACCTCAATTAGAAACTTTGTGCATGACTAGGTATCGAGGAGAAGATCATGATGGCAAGAGCCTCAAGAAAAAGGAGAAGGCAGAGCTCCAAGACATGAAGCACCAGAGGCTCTCTGGACACCCCGGGTGCCCGGCCCCGCCAGCTGCTAATGGCACTGACCCTCTGAGCCGTCCGGGTGCCCCAAATCGGCCACCCCCGGGCACCCGGACCCCGGGCAAGTTTTTGCCCAATCCCCTGACCACCCGGGGCGCCTGCACCACTTACGCCCGGGCACCCGGACCCCCCGGGCCACTTTCCTACCCACCTCTCTGACCACCCCGGGTACCCACACCCTCCCACCCTCGGGTGCCCGCACCCTCAGTTTTTAGCCCAACTCCAAAAACTGTTTCGGCCATAACTAATTCATCCGGAGTCCGATTTTCGCGTTCTTTAGCTCGTTTTGTAGCTATTGACATCCTCCATCCAAAAACAATACCACCACGACAATTTGAATCCATCAAAATTTTGGTATTTTGGCATCTTTGCCTAGGCCATCCACCATATCA